AAACTTAAAAAAGTAGATGAGGACAATGTTCACAAAACCCTTTTAAACAGATTAATTATGCCACCTAAAACTATTTGCATCCATTAATTTTAGCCTGGTTATTCTGAGTTCTAGGTTTAATATATTTGAAAAGGTAGTTTTAGAGTTTGTGTGTGTTATCAATTTGTTAGGAAAGTTGAAACTGAAAAAAGAAAATGAAATGTAGACACTAGAAAAAGTTGACAAGCAGTGTGAATGCCGTATAGTGGAATCTGCTGAAAACAGCAGAAGAAGCAGAAGTGTCTGCTGAAAAGAGGTGAAGAAGCTGACATTTGTGCTAAAAGAGTTAAAGAAGTTGAATTGTCTACTGAAAAAAAAAAATGTTGCCATGAGTGGATTCGAACCCGGGTTTGAGCTCGGTGAGTGGGTCTCACTGAGCTAAAACACAGCTCACCTCGGCGAGCTAAACTGGTGATCACACTTGTAATGTGGTCCATTCATTTTAATGGGGCAAAAATGGCATAAAAAGCTTAATATTTCAAAAAGTATAAAAGTTATGAGCACCAAAAGATATAGCAGAAATTAGCAGAAGGAGCAGAACAGTTTGAATGAAATAGGATGAAAACTCAGGTTCAGTTAACCAGCAAAGAACAGAGCAACTAGAACAGTGGTTCTTAACCTTTTTGGAGGAACTGAAGCCGCACCAGTTTCATATGCGCATTCACTGAACGGCTCTTTAATGAAAAATAAAATAAGATTTTTTTTCAAATTCAAGACATGCATGTTTTTTACTGGTGCACAAAATGAGCCGTGCATGTCACGGCGGAGGCTCCGACAAACCCCAAGGGTTCGATTGAACCCAGGTTAAGGACCACTGAACTAGAATAATAATAAAGACAAACAAGATACAGGAAATCTCTCTCTCTCACACACACATAAACAGAGAGAGAGAAACTGGGTAAAAGTTCGAGCTGAAAAAGAAATTTTGTCCATCAGCATGCTCAGTTCTCATGAATCAACATTAAAACTAGTTTGTTTAATCTCTTCATTAGCCAATCTGTATTTATAGTAAAGCAAACTGCACGATGCTCATGAATTATTAAATCAACATTAAAAACGCACCAAAACACTAATAAATTAAGTCCTCACCATCTCTGCTTGTTTGACCGTTCGGGGGAATCCATCCAACAGGAATCCGTTCCTGCAGGCCGGCGACTCAAGGTTCTTGTCTATGAGCTCCACGACCATCTCATCACTGACCTGCAGGGACACAAAAACTCTTCTATTTATCAAGCAACAATATTTTGGCCTCAGCTAAAGATACTAATTTTATACATTTATTTCATGTCAATACAAAATCTTTTTATACAGCAACAGGAAATGGATATTAAAGTGCACAAATATGAGCAAACAGCACCAAACAGTGAGAGTCAAACACAGATGGCAGAAAATCACACCAGGAACCTGGGTTATATGCTGGGAGATGAAACGGAAACAAAGAGCTCTGCAGCAGCTGCACAAACATGCGTACAGCGCTGGACACAAATATAGAGGAAAACACACAGACGCCTAAGAAATGTTACAGAAGTGAGTTTTGACATAAAAGAGACTTAAGTGGCCACAGAATCACAAACAATTTATTATGATACAGAATAAAATGGCTTTAATAATCAACATGTTTCTCATCCCAACACCATTTCCCCATCTTGGGGTTCATTGTTCTGTATTAATTTGTGCCTCTCATATGTAAACAGTTATATACACAAGTCAGGTCAGCAGAGCATGTCCACCAT